CCTAGGCGTCTATATTTAATCAGGTGAACACCATCCATGCAGGCTGCCTGAACAAACATGTTTTTAACCACAAGTTTTAAAAAGCAAAGGACTTGGTATATGGAGCACTTCCTGAGCCTGTGGTTTACACAAAAAATATATCTGCTAAAGAAGTGAAGAAAGATTTCTTAAATAAGAATAAAACTTCGGAAAGGATGCTCAGAGAGAGCAGGTGAGATTGATCTTCCTACCTTGGCAGAAAGGTGGATAATGAGGAAGCATTACAGCTCCTTTGTCCCTTTCCACTGCTGCCTGGCCTTATTCAGGGGCACAAGGAGGCACAGAACACATGTGCTCCTCAAAAATATGGATTGGTGACTTTATGGTGCAAGCACACTTGCACATTCAGCACATTCCCTAAGAAGAGCTGCAGAAACAGCAAAGCTGGTATGTACAAGTTTCTCGTAATTGTCATGTGTGAATATCTCAAAACGTTTAACAGGTTTATCTTTACAATGCTTCCATGAGATAGGATAACTCCATGTTTTCCTGTCTCTTCCATTACAGTCATCTATTGCTGTAAAACTGTCAGGGACATCAGTACAAACTCTGAAAAGAGGAACACTCCGAGTGTTCAAGAAACTGCTTGAACACTCGAACTGTGTTCAAGAGGGGACCTTAGAACAAATGGATGCTTTAGAGAAAAATAAACAACAACAAAAAACAAACAAAACACTACATTACATAGTGCTCTTTCATGTTATGGAATACCTCATACTGCATAAAAAAAATAAAAAATATCTTTCAATTTTGCATTCATTGTAACATTCTTTTGATTTTAAAATTTGGAAAATCCAGTTTGTTTAGAACTCAGCATGAAGAGCTAGAAAGATTCATAATGAATCAGACAAGGTAAAAAAGTACATATTAGGTTAAGTAACTATTTTTCGGACTGATGGGTTTATGAATTACAGCAGAAGTGGGATTGTTCTACATTTGTAATCATTCTCAAATTTAGCAAGCATTAAAAATTAAAGCTGTGATCATATTGATTGGAACAACAGGTTTAAAATATTTCAGAGTCAATTTCAGTATGATAACTGGGACCAAAGCTAAAGAAATACTTTATTATATTAATCTAAACCTGGAGCCTGAGGTACTAGAAGGTACTCACAAACTAGCCACTAAAAGGGAGGGAGCAATGAATGATTTTTCATCTGGTATTTCTGTTTGTACACTGATTTGCTCTGCCTCTGTCACTCACTACAGACTGACAGACAACTCCCTCATCAGGTAGCTGGTAGGTGCAGTCCATTCTTACATGGGTTTTGGCCAACTTTAGAAGCAGCACCAAACACAGGCTACAGAGAGCCTGAAATACAGGCACGATTTTACTTCAGGTCTGAGAAGTGCAAACTCAGTGGGATGACGTAGGAACATCACACACTGGCAGAACAAAAAGGATTCATCTTTGCTGTTGCTTGTAGGAATTTACTGAGGTAAATTAGCTACTGAAAGGCTTCTTGTTTTTTCCCCAAATGAACAAAAACTTGCTGAAAAGCACAAGGAAATAACCAGAAATGACCAGAACTCAAATTTAATAGTTAAGAACAAAAGAAATCTCTCAATTAATTTACTGTAATATCCATGAGTACAAGATTTCCTCTAATAGTATTCAACTAGTAGTCTGCATTTACTAAAAAAAAACTATTATAAAAATTATTCAGAAAATAAAATATAAGTGAGATTTGAAGAGAATTAAAAGTGTAACTAGTGCTACGTCTTCTCCCTTTTACTGGCAGATACAGACATCGTAAGATAAGGGAAAGGTATTTTAGTTTGACTCACTATAAAAGCAGCCACAAGGTCAGACATAAAAGGGGTCAAGTTAAAGACAGCACAATTTGAATTAATTAAGCCCCTTCTTTTTTCTCAAATTCTGATGTCCCATGATTTAGAGACTCCGGAAAGGAGATTGGTATATTTTTTTCTTTTCTTTTTGTATCATTATGTTCTTCAGCTAGATACAGAAGTCTGTCATTATCTTGCAATAAGAGACAAAGCCTTTTGGAAAAGGAAACACTATTTGAAAGAAATAAAATATAACTCCAGAATTAATACACATGTAGCTACACATTTGTCTATAGTCAGCAAGATATTGAATACTTATTAACAAAATCAAATTACATTAAAAGTTTTCCTTATCACATACAGTAAGTTTTGCTTTTTGTGACTGAATATTTTTAACATTTTGTCCAAGTATTAAGAGAATATAATTTCCGCTCTAACCTACAATGATTATTTATTGTCCTAGCCACTTGTATTGCTGAATGCGGCATTTGCATCTGAAATCCAGAGTAATACAGGATGATGCAATGCAAATATTTCTGTCTTACAAGCCAAACAGCACAAATTCTGTTACACAGAAAGGTAAATGAGGATTGCAGAGGAGTCTTTCTGAGTCTTAGGTTACATTACTTATTATAGAAGCAGGCAGCCATATCATAAACTGATCATGATCCTTTTTAAACTTTGTTAAGGCTTTTGGTTTGAGAATTTTTGCCTTTACCACTCCTACTGGTAGGTTGTTCCAGAAACTCACCATTTTGGTGGTTAGACATCTTCCAATCTCCAGCATCAATTTATTCATTGCCAGATTACACTGCCCCATGCACTCTTTTCTCCCATAACCCAGTTGAAACCAATGAGATTAGCCAAATGAATAAAGTAAATCGGAAAGTCGTGCATTACAATATTTTTTAAAGAACTTGTTCTTAAACCCCATGATTAGATATTTAAATATTTCCCAGACATTGAACACATATTCAAATTATTTTCAACAGACTATTGGTGGTTGGATTTGTGCCAAAACGCAAAAATAAATGCCTAATATTTAATATGTTGTGAGGGTGATAACTTTGTAAACACAATCTTGCAAAAATAAAAAGAAAAAAAAGAAAAGCTTTTATCAATTTAATTCCAACAGTGCTATGCCTGTTATCAAAATATAATCATAGCAAGCACTTTGATACACATTTCTTACTACCACATAAGATGCGCTTTACAGAATTATGGCTGGAAGGGACCATTAAATAATTTGTATAACACTGTATGCAGATAAACCACCTGCATATCCAAGATCATAAATTCACCTAATTACTGCTGCAATAAACCTCATCAGTTGCATATGGCTAAAACACATCTTCAAGGGAGACACCCATCCTTGATCAGAAATGTCATGAAATGGGGAATCCAACACTGACCTTACGTGTTTGCTCCAGTAGTTAAACTAAAAAAGTACGTTAATTTTATTTTGAAGTGTCTCACCTCATTTCACTGTTTAAATATAAAAGGACATTATTTCCATAGTTCAACTTCTATTTCCAGGTGATTCTTCGTTTTGATTCCTCTGAAGTAAAATACCCTGACTATAGTACATTTTCTGCCTGTGTATTTCAACTTCGCAAACTAACTACTCCACTGTTTACATATCTAAGGCCACTTACACACTTTTCACCATAGGTTTGCACTGGACATTCATGTAAAAAAAAAAAAAACCACCAAAACTTTAATTTAGTGCAACATGCAGTTTCCCTCTTAAGTCACTGGTAATCATTCAAGATCTTTATGCTCTGACATGTATTCACTCTTCCTAGCAGTATTGTATTCGGTTGTACTAAAATGCATTTTGTTTGAATCAATTCAGTTAACAAATCACTGCATTGGACAGTCTGACATAACTGTTATCTATCATTTCACCAGTCTTTATTCCATCTGCTCCCCAAAACTGGTTAATCATTTGCAAAAAGTGTAATCATCATTTTTTTTTTGGACCAGATTCTGCTACCATATTCTTAGTCGGGCTGAGTTAGTCTTTAAGAACAAACGTTGCTGTTCACAGTAACACGTTATATTGTGCAGATAAGTCTGGCAGAGTCTGGCCCTCAACAGGGAAAAAACAACTTGCTTTTATTTTTTCAGAGTTGTTCCATTTCTAGCAAACTCATCTGTATCTCTCAAATAAACAGATACAGGCAAAGTTTAGGAAAAAAAATGTTACATCTAACTGTTCACTTTGATTCACTGAAGCCCAGTATAATAAGCTGATGCAAAACTATGCTTTTAACATTGCACAAACGTTAACGGTGTGGGTATTGGTGTGCATGACTATATTTTCTTGGAAGCTACAGTTCTATCAATTTCTACCACTTAGTTCAAAAATTACATAAATGTTTTCACAACTGACAATAAATAATTAAACCAAGGAAAATTATTCCCCTGCTTCAAAGATACTTTTATCTTTCTATTCCAGACAAAAAAAAAAAATAACCTTTCTATTGAGGGACAAAAATACAAAAAACAAAAAAATCTTATCTTTTGAAATGCAGCATGCCAGATTTATGGTTAATATATATCACCCTCCAATGAAAAATGCAGGTTAATATGTACACAGCTCTTAGGATAGCTCATGAAGGTGGTTACTGACTGAAATACTGTCACTGAGTCAACTCTAACAGTTTGATTAGGAAGGATATTGTGCTTCTGAACTACTTCCTATATAAGCCACTTCTCACACTGTAAAGGAAGCCAGAGAAAAATACTCTTACTACCAGCTAAGAGCTGAACAAACACTCAACTCACATGCAGAAACGTGTGATGGTGGAAGTCTTTTTAGTGTACTTCAGACAGTAATTCTAATATATTACAACAGGGAGGTCATTTGCCATTCTTTAATCAGTTATGATTTCCTGTTTCCCCAGGAAACATTTATACTCATTATCTAATTTGTTTCTCATTTACGTATAGTTTTCAAAATTGACAGCTTACAGTCACAGTGAGCTGTGAATTACAGTTTTGTTTTATTTTGCAGTATTTTTCATGGTCTAGATATCGTGGATGATTCAATTAAATCACATGGTGCTTTACACAAAAAGAAAAGACTCGAGCATACAGATTTCCGCATTCTAATTTTCTCAGTTCATCTGCTTAAAGAAGAAAGAAAAATTATCTGTAGCATTTACCTGTAGAAGGCTGGAGGAGCAGCTTCCCTCATCCCAAAGCTGCCCTGTTCGTTTTCAAGGTAATAGGGTACCTGTTGGCTGTGATGATGGATGAAGGGTGAGAGCTGGGGCGCCGTTTGCAAGAACACCACTGGGCTCGGTGGGACATTGTTCAGAGAGTGAAATCCTGCCAGACTGCTGGACCCAAAAGATTCAGAAGTAGGGGCATAACTGAGAGAAGCAGAGCTGTACACTGGAGCCGTAGTACCAAAATCGTAAGTGGCTCCTTCGGGGTAGTTAAAAACTCCTGTCTTGTTGCTCTCCACGTACATGTCGCTGAGCGATCTTTCCAGGGGAATCTTCAGCTGTGGTCTGCTCAGTGTCTCCAGTTCAGTGCCTTGAATCTGGTGTAGCAGAGTAACTCCAGAGGTTTTGGTGTGAAGGGTCATGGTCAGTGCTAATGGCAGTGAGCAAGGAACATATCTGCTTTTACTGTCAACAGCGAGATCGGCAGCTGGCAGTCCACCTAAAAAAAAATTCCAGAACCTATTCTGAGGCTCAGCAGAAATCACAATAAAGCAGCACTACACAGGTATTCCTCTAATCTCGGCAAGGAGGAGGATACAAACAAATGCAGAGTGAGCACTGAAAATGCACATTCTCTCTCTCTCCCTCCCTCCCTCCCTTTCTCTCTCTAACTTTTAGGAACTCCTCATCTACGCTCATATGCATTACAAGGTGCTGGCCGCAAGCCAGGAACTCTTGCCTTGTGCCGACGTCGGTTTAAACATCACTTCAGAAACAATTAGTTTTGGAGTTATACCAAATCATTGTCCCTCTAAATGTTACTTCATTCTTACTAGTCGTTTAATTTTTCACTTCAGGGTAGCCAGCGATCCACAGCAACTAACGGGAAAGAACACTTAAATCCAACCAGGAAGAGTAGTCCAGTGGTCAGGCAGATTACTGCCTTTTATTTCCTCAGCAGGCTCCAATCTATCTGTGCTTATCTCTCCTCCTGTTTGATTCATTTTCATGTTTGCTAGAAATATGTAATGTGTACATTGTAATGACCCTGGGTAGGACTATGCTGTAACTGAGATAGGGCAAAGCAGAATGTGTGCGTGCAAGCGTGTGCTTCTGTGTGTGTAATGAGCCTCAGTCAATAAAACTAGCTAACAAAATTAAAAGGTGTATGATATCTACGTAGAAGAAAAGGTTTATAATATACTTTTCACCAGTAATAGCAACTTGAAGTTGCTAGAGTGTAGTACTAACACTAAAAAGCGAGGAAAACCTTTACATTAGCCTAGAAATTTTTGCCAGCTTCTTTTTAGGTTGTAAAACTATGAAACAAAACATCATTCAGACTTTGCTACAAGAAGATCCTGAAAGTTAGGAAAAAATTATTTGATTCCATGACACGTGAACTGAATACAGGAAATTCTTTTTCCTAGTCCTGTGAACAAAAGCTCAACAAACTCAAATTTTGAAATCAGACTAGAAAATCAAGTAATCTAAAATAATCAAATGGGATTTGCTTTAAAATAAACTGAAATGCCTCTCAAAGTTATCTTTAGGAAAAATAAAGGGAAGAGAGAGGACATAATGAAAAGGTGTGGCACGCATGCTTCATCCTGCAATCTCATTCCATATAATTTTAACTTTGCACAAACCAGTTCTCCTGAACCAGCTAAATGAAAACCTCTAGAAACTGTTTCAAGCTCTCTAGCTTTATTGCTGTGGTCTGTGGTTCAGTCAGTGAAATAGGTTAATGTCAACCCTAAACGCATTAATATATGGGCTCCAGTTAGTATGCTTTGAATACTAGCAAAGTCTATGCTATACTTAAACAACTCCACAGTTACTCAGCTCAACCTTCAAAAAACCCAAGAAACCGAAAAACTGAATATGCAGGTCACTAATAGCTTCAAGAAAAGTTTACTAAAAATGGTTTTATTTTAGTAATAATACTATGTTTTCAGAACTTCTTCTAAAATAGCCAGTTATTTATGTATTTGCAAGATTATTCTGAAGCAATACACATTTGTACCTCCACAGGCATGCAGCAGCACACACATGAATATGTACTTGATAGATTTCCTCACCCACCCAGACACCCTCCCTACCCTGTTCAAATTTCAGATTGTAGACTTTGATCAAAGAGATAAGCTTGTTTAAATAACACTGGACTAAACATGTTCCCAGTTAAAAAAATAATAATCAGACAATCATACCCAGCAGTTCAGAAAGTCTTCGAAGAGCTATTCTGAAAATATGCCAGACAGTGTGAGAGAAAAAAAAGAGAGTGTGTGCATGTTTGCATAGAGTAGGCGAACATGCATCTGCAGACTCACAAAACAGCGAGCAAGCATAGCTCTCAGCAGCCAGTCTGCTGGGCTACACAGACTGAAATGAATGGCAGTTACGAGTTTAAGGTCAGTCACTCTTACAGATTTCATTTCGTGCTTTGGTAATACATAGAAAAAACATTATCTTGATTTAAACTGCATAATCTGAGAATTAATGTGAATCTGCCTGCCATAAGAAGTACCCACTTCTATAGTGTGCTACAAAATGGACTTTACATTTTTATTTAAAGCATTGTCCAACATGTATGCTATGTTAGAATTACTTTATTGACATGCAATAAAATGCTCCAGCATAATAGCTGTGCAGAAGAAAGAAGATACAAGTGTGCACACAGAGAGTACACTTCTGAGTGTGTCCTGTGCAACCTCAGTGCTCCTTGCATGCAGTTTTTAAAAACCTCATTAAGTATTTTGGGAGGGTTGTATGTTTTCAGGGAGACAAATACTTAAAATTTCCACCATATGCAAACAGCATTAAAACACACAGTAGGGTTAAGTAAAAGAACCATCACTGCTGCTCCGTATCATTTAAACCAGGGACCCTAGGAGCAGCTTTCCACCAGCCTGTGTGCAAAGTTAAAGTCCGGCTCCCTAAAAGGGCTCAGCAATAGACAACTGCAGTATCCCTGCAGCACACAGCCTGGCACATGTCTCAGAAGAAAAAATGTGAAGTGCCACCAACAAGATCTTAGGGGCTGGCTGGGAATCCTTGTGATAGCATCCAGTAATGTTTGGCTTACTTTTTCTGTGGAAGAAAAGTGAGAGAGCAAGAAAGGGCAAGGGTGAGGCGGGGCATTAGTCACGCCAAATCCCATGAAGAAATTGAATTTTTGACTTGTATATACTGCAAAAGTCAGTTCTTGATTCTGCATACTATATGTGGGATTTTTTGATACAAAAAAGTTATGAAATGCAACAGTTTATCAGAGGGGGGTATTTTTCTTGTCCTGCATGGTGACGACTATCCTGCTTGCTCCAAATTAACACATGCTGCTAATTCACCCTGCTTTAGAGATGGCGTTAGATGCATCTGCTTGTGGACTCGCCCCCCAGAAAAATGAGACCTGTTTCTAAAACCTGGTCTTTGTGCTTAAAGGCCAGGACTTACTCCACCACCCCATTTCATCACTCTGACCTATTATATGCCAGGTTTTACATGTTACTAGCACAATACAGAAATGTGTACAGGATATAACAATAATATTTGGTATTTTTTCCCAGTGGACATGAAGTCTATGCAAAAATTTGGTTTCACTAAATCCCACTTCATGTATGCCTTTAAAAGTATGTGGATCTCATACAGAAGGGCTTGCCTCATTCACTGTGTATTTAAAAAAAAAAAAAAAATCACATGTAGTAATGACAGGGAGTAAATAAAAACATGAATTGGCTGCAGCATCTTCTTTTCCAGTGCTAGAGAGAAGTGTTCAAAAAATACTCAGTCAATGGGAAAGCTACCTTTCCAGATTTGGTAATTTCTCCACTAATATGTATTCAACTGCAACCAAGCTGCCCTATGTATTTCTCTCACCTTAACGAAGGCCCAATATTTTTTTGGAGTTACCGAGAACATACTACAAGGAGAAAGTCATCTATCCCAGTCTTCCTCAGACACCCGTAATAAAATAGAGGGAAAATGGTTCTGCAAAATCTGAGGATTTGCTAAATTTATATCAGGTATAGACTGGGTTTTTTGCTATATTTCTGATGCTTGGGAATATACAAATAAAATTAATGCTGACTTTGATCCGTCCAGATTTATGCATACACGGTATGTATGCATATGTTAATATAGGGAAGAAACAGGAAGGAAAGAGAGAATAGCAATTAATGAATACTGAAGAAACAGGAGGGGACAGTCCACTGTGACCGAGGAACACTACAGACATGTTGGCAAGCAAAGTCAAAGCAGAAATTTCTTCTTCATACACAGTCATTTTTAGAGATTGAGTCAAGAGATGAGTTTCTGAAACAGTGAGGATTCAGACACTATTCTTCTCATGAAAATGAGAAATGAATTGATTAAATGAATGGAAGTGACTGATTAAATCCTGTGTTCCCCTTTTTAAAATGTCAAACTTTCTATTTTCCTTTTCTAGATATGCCAGAGTTCTAGTGCCCAACTCAGATTTTCCAGAGTGAGGAATTTACTCTAACTTACACTAATAAAATACCAAACGTAATAACGTTAAAACTAAATCATATTTCTGTGGCTCTGTGGTTAAATTAGCATCATTTACAGCTGAAGAATATTTAGATATATTTCTAAAGGCAAATTCTGCTCATTTCAGTTCATTGATGAACACTTTGCTTCTAGTTTTTATATTTCTTTTTTCTTTTTTTTTTCTTGTTGTTGTTGACAAACAACTGGAGTGCTCAGATTAAGCTAGCAGAGTCATGCATAGTGCAGTTTGGCTCAACTGGACCATCAGTGCAACACCCTTACCAGCTACAAACAGGAGGCTATGGAATTAAATTCAGGATTCTTACTATAACAGACAATATGAACTTCTTTTCACTTCAAAACTGGAACATAGCTTAAAAAAAAAAAAAAAAGAGAAAAAAAAAAAAGAGAGAGAAAAGAACTCCTTCTACTGCTTGCAAATAATGTGGCACCAGCAAAATGGACTCAGAAACAGAAAAAGGATAAATAACAAAAATTATAGAAAATACTACTCTAACTTATCTAAACAACCAAAAGAAGTTTTGGGGATTTCCATTGCCATCAGCAATTTTCTAATAACTAAAAGTCCTGAAAGCCAGTGTATAGGGAGAGAAACAAACAAAACAAAAAAAAAAAAAAAGGAAAAAAAAAAGAAAAAGAAAAAGAGAAAGAGGAAGAAAAGCCTGAACAGATTCTTGATTCTGGACAAGATAAAACAGCAGTTTGAGGGAAAAGGAGATTAAAGTAAAAACACTACACAAAGACTATTCAAATTATAGGAATCTTTAAAGATAGCAAAACTCCTAATCCTATAATAGGCTTTTTTCAGCACTAATTTTAGTAAGTATTCCAACAAAAAATGGTAAACTCAGAACTTAGAACATATACTATAAATTTTCCATAAACCTGCTGACAGTGAGAGACCATAAACTTCATCGCTTTGGTTCCACAGCTATAAAGATAGAAGCTTTTTTTAGCTGCTGCAATTAAAGAAGAATCTATTGCACATAACAGGAGGAACATTATGTTTTTCCAAGATTCCACTGTAACATTACAGAGAAATTATGTTGTGTTTAGTCCAGTGAGGAAACTCCTCAAGATAGACAGCTGGAGAAC